TGTTCTTTGTTATGAACCATCCGTGATAGGTCACAACGAAACGTGAACCGGAGAAAGTGAGTTTTACGTTTGTTTGGTCGGATCAGGATTATATGATCTCGATCAGACGGATTCGTCCCAAACAAACGCGCCCTAATATCCATGATGGAATACTTACAATGTAGGGAATTCCCGCCATACGCAGGTAGGTCTCTAGCTTTAATGGAAATGGTGACAAACTAGGAGCATATTTTGCTCTTCCTATCTGGTGAAGCACAACAGTGTCCTTTGGGTAATCTTTACGCTTTTTTTCTTGTCTATAAATAAATAAATAAATAAATATGCATACATAGACTACTGGCTAGAGGCTGCTGCCTTATTATGTGGTATTGCAGGATAAGTTAAGAACCCAGTAACTACCGTGGAGATTACAGTGGAGGAGACTTACTCAACATTTTATCTCTACATGGTAAATGAAGAATTATTAAAAACTACACCCTCTGTGCTGGGTTATGGTAAAACCACACCCAATTTATTTACAATTACATTGATAATGTTAGTCAGTCAAGTGTTAAAATCACCGTACTATCATGTCACTGATGATACAGATACAGGGTTCTCCCTACGTTGCGCAAACGCGAGCGCCCCGTTTGGGAAAACCCCCCCCCCCTGTTTGAATCGTTGCGCCCCGTTTAAATTCCACCACAATAAAAGTTTGCCAGCGCGCGAATCGATCGTCAAGAATTGCCGTTCGACCAGGACATCCGGCCCAGGACATCCGGCGCGTGTATTTTTACCGTACCACGCATGCACTGCAGCCAGGACACAAGTTAACCTGACAATGCACAGTTAACCTGTCACTAACTGTACACCGACTCGGCTATCTTATATATACAAGAACCCCAAATACCGTCTATGGTGTGGTGGCGATTTTACGCATTAATTAGTCGTACGGTAAAAATACACGCCCCCCGGACCCCCCTAGTTTCCCCCTCCCCCCTCCCCCTAGTTAGTCAGTCAAGTGTTCGAGAATCTCAGTTGAGAAATGAATTTCCGTTAGTAGATCTGTTTCTTCAGTTAGCACATGTATATGAAAGAAACACTAGATATGAGCCATGTACTAGTGATTCAAGAAATACCAGTCAAGACATCCCCAAAGATAGATGTGAGCCAATACCCACACCTACGGGCAGTAGCACTTTGCAGGCGTGAGGGCTTCCTTGCAAGTTATCTCCTGATAGTGATAGGTCAAGAACATGCCGAAGTTATAATGTCCCTAGACCCCAGAGATGGCAATAGAGGTGAACCCTTCGCAATGTGTGGCTGGTGTCTGAATGCAACTTTAAGTAGAAGAGTTATCTCCCAATTTGTCAGCACCACAGCCACAGCACTCGAGGAGAAATTAGACAGCATGTGGTCTATAGAAAATGAAGTTTCAGATAGCAATGTAACATGGTCTCCACAAGACAAAAATGTGATTCAGCTACATGGGATAAAGAATGTGATATTGTTGATAATCACTACCAGCTCCCTATCTTGTGGAAGAACCCTGGTCTACCTAGATTCTTTCATGAGAAAGCTACTTGTAAAAGGAAAAATGTTAGACAAATACAACACCGAGATCAAAAGAAAAGATCTATAGTGGATACGCAGAGAAAGTACCAGAAAGCAAAATAAAAAAATCAGGAAAATTGTGGTACTTCTCTTATAAATTTTTGCAAAAATGGTGCATTCTAATGTATATTTCGAGTTTAGTTCAATAAAGTGTCGTTTATTGATGGAAGAACAGTGACCTTCGTCAGCGAGGCGGTGTTTTGGACAAATTTCTGTATGGCAGCTAAGAATTTTAGCGAGGCGGCCCGCCTTGCTCGTGTCAATGCAGGGGAAACACTGCAGTGATCATTGATAAAAAGCCAGACAAGGTCAGGATCGCTTTTGACTGTGACTCTAAATATCTAGGTGAGTCTCTTAATGACAAGTGTTTGTAAGACAGCAATCTCATTAACAAATTGTGCATGTCACCATGCACTCGTTTATATGGTAAATAAACAAGGCGATCTGACTCACTACAGAATGATATCACATCAGGGGTCGAAATTAGAGTTTTATTTTGGTATCCATTCGGGATACTAGGTATTGAAATCTGGTATCCCCCCCAAAGATCTGGTATCCCATTTATGGGATAGTAATTTTAAAAATGTTGGTATCACAAAAATCTCACCATGAAATAAATAGCATTAATATAGCAGAACTAGTTATCTCAATAATGATTTGACAAATTATTTAATATGTAATCGTAAGTTAATATAATTAAAACATGAAACAGATTCACAGATATGCACAGACAAGGCACTTTGAACGCAGTCAAATAGAAAACAGAGATGACCATGTTAATGGACCATGGTGCAGTACACAGGCACAGAGTCTGCTGCGAGTTTGCAATCGCTGTTGCTAGCTCTATCACAAAATAGTATTTGCTCCTCAAGTCACAGAAAATAATACATACGCAGCCGCATTGACTCCATGACTATAATACAACTATTCATACATATTAAATGCACACATAGGACAAATGTATTCAGGCATTAATATATAAACTAGTGACAGAGGCACTCATGGGAGACGTGCATAACCTCCAGCAGCAACAGTACGCCATCGCATACGACTGAGGAACACACGAATACCCAGCGATATACGCCAACGTAATGTATGCTCGCTCGCCGCTCAGGTCAGCGCAGCTGGCTGTGGCTGGCCTCGCTCCTGCGGGGCTCGGCGGGGATGACGCCGGCTAATTATCGATCGCGCGAAACACAAACACACGAACGCACAGACCCGAATACGATAAGCTTTAAATACTTGAAACTTATAAACCATATAACCATAATATGAAAACTTGTTTAAAGATTTGCACAGACCGGTTTATCGATGCAGATTTCAAATCAGAACAGTAGACTGACAGTAGCCTCTAGAGCGATAGCCTTCCACTCCTGCGCAGGAGGAGGCGCTATCGCCCTAGAGCTAACTCTACAGCTAATAGTAACTATAGCCATCAAAACACAATATGCACTACTGGCATGGCGACTGCAGATTACTGAGTCATCAAGATCTACATATTCAGCATTCTGTACTTCTTCGTAATGCCCACGTTTTATCAGGACATTTTGACGTGGGTCGCCGAGTACGAACTGCTGAACTATTCACAGATGTATTTAGCTGCGTCAAAGTTGATAGTATTTAATTGTTCTGAATGTCTACATTTATCACGATTATGAATAATTACTGGAATGAAAAACAACAGGCCTGTGAGTGCGGTTGTTAAAAAAAAAAGGAACAAATCTGAAAGCAGCAGAGTGATGCGAAGCGCAGCCCTTTCCACAATGCACGCAGATACAGTACGTGCTCGAGCTATACTCCGCCGGCCTAATCGTTAGTGGGCTGAGTGCATTCGTCGAGACCGGCCAAAACCTCGGGTATCCTACCAGTACCATAGCCCAGCGACTGTACGATCGTGCTGATATCTTGCTAAGTCACTCCCTGACTGAGCGTGATTTACTACTACATCATTAAAGGTATATATTGCGAGATAAAATTCACCCCATGTCATAAAATTTTCAAATGTTGTTGCCAAAAATTTGGTTTTGCTCGCGTTCATTTTAATACGCCTCCACACAACACTGCAGACAGGATTTGCGTTAGCCGCATTGTCTGGTTCGCCTTAACAATGATATACACATGCACATTTGTGTTTATCACATCGCGACACGCTTATTACGCCTTGCGCTTGCACTATGCTATGGGCCGTGCATGCTAAAATTGGCAAAATTATTGTTGAGTGGATAACGCTAGTGTGCGGCATAGTAAGGTGGCGCACTCGGCTCTCGCATCTTGCCGCGCACTCGCTCAGATGCCGCTCGCCCGTATAAAGCTTGATAACTCAACAACCACTACCCAAATTTGCGATTTTTTTTTTACTATCACGGCCGGGCGATACCAAGCATTGAAATCTGGTATCCAACACAAGAATCTGGTATCCCGCGGATATCGGGATACCGCTAATTTCGACCCCTGCACATACACGCACTTAGACGCACTGTTCAAGATCAACAAATTGTGTGCCCTTTTGGATACTCGTTAAAAGATCTTTTTATGCCAATAATTGTCTCAAGTCTATATCCACACTGAATAAAGCAAGAACCGTCATCAGTGAAACACCAATGATGTTAAAAGCAAATGAGGGTTTAATTTGATGAAGTTGCTCAAGGCGCTCATGCAAGACATCCCGGAAGGAAATCGTGGAAAGGTTTAGGGATAGCAAGGCTCTGGGAATAAAGTGGGATCTAATAAATGACAAGTCCTACTTTGAAAACGCCAAAGAATAACGACTTGTGTTGCTCACAGAACAATGTTGAGTTTTCTTTCTTAGGTTTATGCAGACGTCCCAAGTCTCCCGGTCTCACCGGGATCCTCCCGGTATGACACGCTGCTCCCGGTGCCCCGGAATGAGTCCAGAAGCTCCCGGTCGTAACATTTTTCAGCCATATGAAAATTTACATCAGTAAATTTACTAAATTTGCTGTTGTTGTTGATGTACTTTGATTCCAGCCAACAATAAAAGGCCACAGATGTCAAACACTTAAATTATGATTTTCACAATAACGTCGTTTACGTTGTGTGACCGGAATTTGTTGTTGTTAAACGTCACGTCCGGGTGCGCGCGCATGTAGTTACTGTCGCTATGCGGTGAAAACAAGCTTTCATCCAGCAGTTAAGTTACCATATATAGTCATCGCCCGGTTGTGTTTATAGACCTATGGCTATGCTGGTGTTTACGACTACTGTCTTTATACAATATGACGAAGAGTCGTGTTGCCTGGGGCTGCACTGAAGGGTGCAATCTGATATGACTTAAGAGTTAAGTTAACAGAAATTGTATTGAACTATCTGTCTATAAACACAAATTTAGTATCCAGGGGCCGGTTTCACGAAGCGTACTTAAGTATTGAATCGTGATTAAATCACTAATCATGATTAACTTCTCGTACTTAAATTGAAGTGACTGTTTCACGAAGCGTAATTAACTTTGATCATAATTAAGTTAATCACAATTTAGGAAATTTTACTTCAATTTTTTCCCAAGGAAATTTAAATTATCTAAGATTTGCTGTACTACTCCAGTCATTATAGTTACAAATTAATTCCTTTTCATGTACCGAACTTGAAGATATTTTTGGCGCATTGGTCCGCCATATTGAATACAGTGTAATTTGTTTTAGACTGGTACTCGCTCCCACCTCGATTACTCGATTCCCATCGAGTAACTAAGCCGAAAGGGGAGCGAGTACCAGTCTATTCATGTTAAAGTCGGCTAATTATGTGATTAGTTAAATATGTACTTAAATTGCTTCGTGAAACAGATTTGTAAGTATGATTAACTAATCATAATTACGGGAAGTTAAGTATAATTAGGGATTTAATCATATTTAAGTTTATAAGTACGCTTCGTGAAACCGGCCCCTGATTTTTATATTTTGACTTTTGTCATCATGTCAAACGGTACGCCAACAAAGAAACGAAGCCGAAGGGCCTACCGGTACCCAAAAGTTTTATTGTGCATTCAGCCAAGAATACACAACACAAGGTCATATCCTTGCATCATCGGGGGGGGGGGAGGGGGTTATATCACAAGTGCTCCCTTTCTTGGATTTTCCCAACTTGGGACCTCTGGGTTTATGTGACCTAGGGGTTAACCACAAAAGTGCAATTACCGTATTTACTCGTGTATGTATATTATAAGAGCATTCACCTAGTATAAGTTGCACCCCACATTTTGCCTTGAAAAGTTGGTACAAACATTTCTTAGACTCGTGTATAACTTATAAGTCACACTCCTGACTTTGTTACTGATGTTGGGTACAAAAAAGTTTGACTTATATTTATAAGTTGACAACAGTTGAACTTGTGCCGTGGTACAACTACAACTTACAAGGATAGAGAGCATGGTTCCATTGAGAACTATGTAGCGTAACTCATCGGCTTTGCTCTCACAACCATGCTCTCTATCCTTGTAGTAGTAGTACCACAAGTTGATACGTGAATCATGTGGGCTAGCCCGACCAGGCTCTGCGACGGATTGTCTATACGGTATTCTAACCCTAGCAATACCGTTTCTTGGAGCTACATGTGGGCCTACCTTGACTTTCTAATTCGCCATAGTACGCCTATGGCTATGCCTACGAGTACGATCACTGCCAATACACAACCAATTACTTTCAAATAACAGCTAGAGAGTAAAGCCTCAGCATCCATGATCTCGAACAGAGCAGAACAACAACTCAAAACACAACAAAATAATCAACAGTGCAACTACGACAGAGAAGGTGTGTCACAGACCAGAATGTACACCACGCCCACGCCTGCACGGTGGCGCCGCCCAGCGTATAGAGCGGGACCTATGAGCGGGACGCGTCTATTTTTTCCGTACCGCAAATGCGCAAAGAGTTCCTCTGATTGGCTGCTTTGATTTGCTCTGACGTG